GGAGGGAGGGGGCGGTCACATGACCATCACAGGCAGCTGAACAACTCAATTGGCTGGTTTTAATTGATGGACTTTTCAGATATATCGCAGTTTTTGTTTTTTTACTGTTCATGTTTTTGGGGGTTTTTTTGTTCCTCAATTTTGTTTTTGTACATTTTTTTTTTCACACTGTTGTGAAGCGTCCCGTATTTTTCGCGCTCAGGCGGGAGGTTAAACGCACAGATCAGAGATCCCTGTAACAGACCCCCCTCCCTCCGGTACCCATACAGGTATAGGAATATTGCACTATTGCGAATGCCCCAGCTGCCGAAATGATGAAAGAGACCCGCCAGGACAAGAAATGCGTTTTTGTGATATAATGGACGCTGACGCAAGGTCGTGTTCATTGTGTGTTTGTTTTTTAATGCATGACTTGTAGGGCTGGGTCCATGCGTCTGTACAAGCTGCGCTGCTGTACAGTTATGAGGTCATTGCCTTATGATACCCGGAAAGTTCTACTGTCGTAAAGGGGTCTGTTTTTGCCTGTATAGAGTCACTAAGAATTCAAAGTTCATCTATAGCCACAACACTTTTTTTAGTTTTTGGGTAGCGTAGGGGACGGGTGAACACTGGGGACGCACCGAAATGACCGACATTTCAAAATCTGCCCTGCCGAAACAGAAAATGACTTTTTGTATTATTTATTTATTTTTTACTTCCCTGTCAGGGGGCTTTTGGGAAATATTGGGGATCTAAACAGACCCATGATATTTCGCTTTTCAAAAAAAAAAAATTGGAGGCACGTGTGTCCTTAATTTCTTTTTCTGCAGCTCCAGCACTTCATGAACAGGAAGTTGTCAGTACAGAGGCTTTCCTGTTCATTCATAATCCTCTCATGAAGGGACAGGAAGCCTCTGTACTGAGCTGCTTGTTCATAAAGTGATCGGATAGTAAATATTTACTATGTCCCCATTCATGAATGAACAGGAAGTGATGTATAGCACTTCCTGTTTATCCATAACTGGAGACATAGTAATCACAGTTCTTTACAAACACTGAGGGATCAGTACTGAGTGCTTGTGCTTGGCTCTCCATCCTGACTGCTCCGCCCTCTCCCGTCTGTCACCAGAGCCGAGCTCTCCTCCCTGCATTGCCCCACTCCGCCTCCGGACAGCTTCTCCCCCCTCTCCGTTGCGTGCTGGCAGCTGGGTCGGCTCGTAGGCTGCAAGCTCCGTTCTGTGTCCCCTCCGATCACCTCTGCTGACACAGACGGGGAAAAGCAGCGGGGATCGGAGGGGACACAGAACGGATTACAGAGGCTTTCCTGTTCATTCATAATCCTCTCATGAAGGGACAGGAAGCCTCTGTACTGAGCTGCTTGTTCATAAAGTGATCGGATAGTAAATATTTACTATGTCCCCATTCATGAATGAACAGGAAGTGATGTATAGCACTTCCTGTTTATCCATAACTGGAGACATAGTAATCACAGTTCTTTACAAACACTGAGGGATCAGTACTGAGTGCTTGTGCTTGGCTCTCCATCCTGACTGCTCCGCCCTCTCCCGTCTGTCACCAGAGCCGAGCTCTCCTCCCTGCATTGCCCCACTCCGCCTCCGGACAGCTTCTCCCCCCTCTCCGTTGCGTGCTGGCAGCTGGGTCGGCTCGTAGGCTGCAAGCTCCGTTCTGTGTCCCCTCCGATCACCTCTGCTGACACAGACGGGGAAAAGCAGCGGGGATCGGAGGGGACACAGAACGGAGCTTGCAGCCTACGCCCAGCAGGAAGGAGAGAAGCTGGGGATGCGCCACATTTTTTTACCGGTTTTTGTACTATCGCCATTTTGCCCATAAACCCATTTTCAGCCGAAATTTCGGCGCGTCCATAAATAAAACCCCTACAAAGGATTTTTGTATATTACTGTGTGAGCTGTCCCTGTGCTGTAGACAAAACAGGAAATGAGAGGGGATCTTTCTAGATTGAGGGAACTCTTCTTGGTTGTCAGCACAACAAGTCTCCCCTTTGGAACAAATTTCTCATTTTCGCTTTATTCCTCTTTCCAAAATGTTGGATTTTCCTCAATCCTGTCCACAAAGGAACCTACGAATCCAAAATTAAGAAGCCGGAGGCACCACATCAAGTCCTCCGGATCTGAAGCGTAATTGTTCCGAGCAGGCAACACAAGGCCCCGTCTAGAACAATAAAGCTTCACTTACAGAGGAGTACACAGCGTGCCACCATCTTCTTTCTTTTGGAGGTATGGATAGTTTGGGGGGTGAGGACAAATCCCGGCAAGACTTTGGCACCCAGTTTATTGCGGTGAGGTGCTCCAGTCTAAAGGACTTTGTGGCAGCAGCAAGAAGTAACCTGATGGGGTTGCATTCCGTTTCCCGCTCTATTAAAAGAAAGGTTTTGGCTTTGGTATTTTTCCCCCCTTTTTTTATTACAAATGGCTGCACAGGCTCTTGCAGTATCTCATTCAGCACATTTTGGCCCGTGGCCTTCCTAATAATGGATATCCTTAGTTGTCCACATGAGAAGACGTTCTGTCTACGGCACCCATTGGAACTACCAGCAAAGCTTGGCAGCTTCCCATTGGGCACAGCACACCGGTAAAGGTTCTCATCGTCCTGGTCATGGCAGAGCTGGTAATGGTCACCTTTAGCTGGCCTTGTTCTGTAATGTTGAAGACGCCTATCCCAGAGGCCTCCTATGATGAAGTGAACCTGAACTCAGACAGTAGGGATTTGTTGTCTTATTGGGTACATAGAGATAATTGTGTCCAAGCAGTTCCCCCGAAAAAATGAGCCCTTTGTATTCCATTCCTCTTGAAAAGTAGCAATGTGTTTCCTGTGCCCTATAGCTGTCTATCTGCGGTGTGAGATCATCTCAGGCACGGCGGCTTCCTCTGACTGCCGCTCTCACCAGACTTGGAGTGAGGTTTGGTGATGTCACTACTTGTGCTTCTCACTGTCCTCCTTGCTGGAGGGGAAGCCGTACCTAAGGGAATGCAGTGCAAGGATCTCCCTGCTTCTTCTTCATTCACTCTGTGATTTCTGCACGTCTCCTACTGGTTCTTCCACCCGCCATCAGAGACCAACTCTGACTTGTGGAAGCAAAGTCCTGCCTCTACCAAGCTGGCTTCCTCCATAGCGATCAAGTGCAGAACAAGGCATGGTGACTCAGTAATGGGAAAAAGATCAGCTGAGTGGAGACCAGAGGCAATATGGGTGACATGTTCCTTTGTCTTCTGCTTGCCTTTTGGGGCCGTGCTTCTAGGTTCTTCCATAACACCTCTCCTAGACTTACATTCTGTGAATTGGAACAGACTTGTCTCATAAACCCTCCCACCTCCGCTCGTGTTCTTGGGCAACCAGCATCTGCCTTGACACATTATAGATCGGAGGTTCGGCCTCATCTGGAGTACGCGGTCCAGTTTTGGTCACCAGTACCCAGAAAGGACGTTCTTAAAGGAGAACTATGGGGTCAGTGTTTTTCCCCATAATTCTCCTTAGGGTAACGGGAGGACACAAACTAGCGTCCTCCCGTCACCCTAAGCTCAGTATACCGCGAGCAACAGCTCGCGGTATACTGAGACGCCGCAGCCGGAGCGGATCCCGACATGGACGTCGAGACCCGCCCAGCTGGGTGAGTGACAGCTGGCTCTGCCTATCTAGAGGCAGAGCCAGCTGTACCCGCCCCCTCCCCCGTCCGTTCCGCCAGTCAGCGCTGGAAGATCGGAGCGGGGAGAGGGGAATCCAGCCCCTCCCCTGTCACGGCAGAGAGCCGTGACAGGATCGAGAGGTGAGGGAACGCCGGTATGTGTTCGCTCACCTCCCGATCTACTGAGCCGACCTGTGACAGTCTCACTGTCACAGGTCGGCTAGAACTATGAGGAGGAGTGGAAATCACTCTCCTCATAGTTCTCCTTTAAGCTGGAGAGAGTCCAGCTGGAGGACCAAAGCTATGAGGCAAGGTTACTAAATGTAAACTTGTTCACGCTGGAGGTGCGGAGATTAAGGGGGGACAGGATTTTGACGTAGAAGACGTTCAATGGTGATGGCAACATCAGCAATAAACTTTTTACTATAAACTCCATAACAAGGACTAGAGGCCACCACCTAAAATTGGTGGAGAAAAGATTTAACCACAAGGGGTGTAGGGGCTTCTTCTCAGTCAGGGCAGTAAGGGTCTGGAACTCTCTGCCGCAAGCAGTGGTATCAGCTGAGAGCATTGAAACATTCAAAAAGCATTTGGACAATTTCCTCAGAGACCGGAACATTCAGGGGGTACAGGTACCCGTAGAAAGGAAAAGGGAAAACATTTTTAAAAAGGATCACACAAGGCCCCATACACACGCAGAATCCCACACATACACGTAATAGGTTGAAGTTGATGGACCTGTGTCTTTATTCAACCTCAAATACTATGTAACTACCGTATGTAACATTCCA